ATATGAACATTTGTGCTGAAAAGACAGCTTGTAACTTTAATAAATAGTTAAAAAATGTTAAACCGCCAAAAGAAATGGACAGTGGGGTAAAGAGAAAGAGAGAAAAGGAGAGGGGGCAGGTAGATTGTAGTGAAAGAAACATGGAAAAATTGTATGCAGAAAGCCTTGTGGTAGAGCAAGAAGAATGTTGGAAAGCTGATAGAAAAAAAGGACTTAGGGCGGAAACATTTATTGATTCAGACAATGGGAAAGATTATGGTTATGATACAGAGAGGAAAAGTGTTAACAAAGAATGGATTAAAAGAAGACACTGCATTTTAAATGTTGATGAAATTGTTGGGCTCCAGGTTCCTCATTCCTGGTTTAGTGTCAACATCTGAATTAGTCCAGTGTCTTTAGTGGAGAATCTCTTCCAGATACTTTGACTTGGTTCATATGTAATGGCAAAACATGGTACAGTATTAAGCAAACCAAGGCACATACCCCTTCTTCCTCTCACATGTGTGGCTGAGAACACAGATGTATGGGAGTGAATTAGGACACATGAGGGATTAAGAGCCAGTACATGAGTTCATCATCTGAATAGATCAGTAGTTCTCTTTACAAATAGTGATGCTGTGTTTGTAATCATCCTATTTCCAGTACCGGAAGAAAATCATTTGGATCCATTTTAACAGTTTTTTTTTCATGTACCCCCAATTTCTTTTAAAGTAGGGTGGATAAAAATGATTTTTAAAATCAATTTGATTTTAAGTTATGATATAAATTTAAAAAATCATTTTTAACATTTAAATCAGTTGGTTTAAATCAAATCCACCATATTAAAAAGTACACTTACACTAAGACAGGATTACTATCATAAATGGCAAAAGTATCATCTGGGTTGTAACATGGCTTTCTGATTTCCTAAAAACACAGAAGCCATTGAACTATTAAGGATTTATATTCAAGATTTGTAGATTACCTTAAAGTACTGGTTTCATACATCACAGAAGTCCTAGCCTGCTTGCATGCAGGTGAAAAGGATGATGGGGGAAAGAGAGTACACCCTTACTTGGTGTTTATGTGAATTGTACCGGTCTTGGGATTGAAGCAGGAACACTTTAGCTGTTGCCAATCTCCACCACCCAGTGACATCATCTTCCTTTATACTGTAGGTAGTACTTCTTGTAGGTCTGGTTTTGTGTTGATGCATAGAAGCTTGAACAGAAATGTACATATAAACACATTATAAGAATTTGAGTTACTCCTGGCTTTAACCATGTTCATTTAACTGTATTCAGTATAATGGAAACTCAGAATAACATCCACTTATGAACTTGAACTTTTTTCATTCATGTTGCATATACCTTTTCTAATGCCTGAAGCTAAACATTTTGTTGATAGACATCTAGGGGTTTGTTGGGTTTTTTTGACATTTATATAGTTCCAATCAAGTTGTGGCTTTCACTTCCTACTTTCTTGTGTTACATACATTGGCCAAAATCCTGTTGCATAAATTTCACTGGCATAAGGGAGATGATGTCACTGTCTAATGGAGATTGCCAATAATTAAATAGTTCCTGATTCAGTCTCAAGGCTGGTACAATTCACGCACAATGAAATTGATTGTACGTGGTTGAAGCAGGAGCTCTTTAATTACTGGCAATCTCCCTGACAGTGACATCATCTCCTTAATGCCATTGTAACTTGGATTTTGGCCCCCAAGTACTATAATTTCACATTGAATGTGCACCACACACATGCAAAGACTCAGATAGACAAGTAGAGACCCTGTTTCCCCTCTTGTCTGTGGCCACAAACAGGCCAGCAGATGCTGAAACATTAGGGCAAAATGAGCAGCTGTCTATGGTTCACATATCCCTATGTACTGTCTAACTAAAGCAAGCTGCTTATACTTTAAGCACAAGTGACCTGCTTAGCATGGTGATTGAAGGATAGATGGGATATGTGACCAGATGTCCCATTCCTTCTAATGTCCGGTCATGCTCCCTGTGCATTTTCAGAGTTTGGTCAGGGAGAGGTAGATGTCCTCTGCATGTTGGTGTTGCATCCGAAACACAAGAGGATCATCTGTTATGTTTTCATTGGCAATTGTGGATGTTGAGGTTATGCTCATACTTTTGATTTCTTGCAGCAGAGCACCAATTAAAGGGTGAATCATTGATCATAATGAATCTGTTCACATTGACATCCAGATCTTTATACCAGTTTAACAGAAGCAGGCAAAGTATCTTTGAAGGTTTTCTTTCCACACCATGCAGTCTTCCATGGATTAATTCACCACAGAATACATCATCAGTTTTGTGGTGTACAGTCCGAGCAAAAACAATTTCACCACATGTTAAAAAATTGATCATTCCTCAATAATTATTTATTTACAGCACAGACTTATTCCACTGTACAAAAAGAGACTGGTACCCTTTAATAGATTTATGTAGCAGTATTTGCCCCTGTAGATTTTTAGCTCTTTTACACATGTAATACTAAGTTTTCATAGAGTCATAGAATAATTGAGTTGGAAGGCATTTTTCTAAGACCAGATAAGTGACCTCCAATCTAATTTATGTGGCATTATCTAAAAAGCATTTTTGGAAAGCCAGAAGGTTCTAGTAATGTGATCTTCCTAACAGCAGATGTTTTGCAGTCCCTAATCTCAGGGCACTCTAACAATGATAGCAGAGCATAAGGATCTGACTTGCAGGTGCAAGTGGGCCCTCTCCCTCTTTGCACACTGCTGTAACCTGCCTCTGCCCTATACAGCAACATTGGACACCACCATTAGTGTCAGAAAGTTTGCAGAAACATTCTGCTCAGAAAAGCAAGAAGGAGGTGAAATGACTGGCTGGCTGGTCACTGTTGCCAGGATTATTGGATGCATGTAGGGCATTGAGATGATTTTGACTTGCCTTCTACAGAATACAGAATGACACAAGTGTTGCTATAAGTGGCATGGCTGACTTTTCAAAGATACATTTTCTCTTAAACAATTCATATTTCCTGAATATAAGAGCAATGATTATCTTTGGAAATGGCAGAGTTAAGGGAAGATAAGAAGGGTGAGGGGGGAACTCAGCATGAGCACCTCTGCTGTTATCTTGGTGTTGTCCTTCTTTTATACAGAGATCTATTGCATCAAATCATGCTTCCTATAACATTTCATTCATATACCTGAAAGTCAAGGCTGGGTTATCATCTTACCTCGCATGGTTTCTGTTTGCGCATGATGGTGTTAGAATTGCATATGCTACCGTAGACACCATTCTGCCCATCTTTCTTAGTTGCTTCTTTGCTGGTTCTGCAGGGTCATCCCCAACATCATCTCAGAATGCCACGCTGCCTTCATCGAGTGCCTGGCCACTTAGTGCCTCCGGCTACAGTAGCTCTTTCAGCAGCATTGCATCCGCACCTAGCATTGCAGGTACGATCCATGGCCTTTCTACTTAGAGTCCCTCTTTGTCCATAAAGAGAGGAGGTTCTGCAGAGGCCTCTGCTCTTGCTGGGGATGATGGTACTAAAGGTGTGCTGCATGTCTTTGCATACTGTACTCCTTCAAATCCAAAGCTTGTCTTAGGAGTTTGATAGTGATACATACATGGTGGAGATGACTGGAACTGGAATTGCCAGAGAAAACACATCAAAAGTAGAAATGCAAAGTAGGCCGAGTGCTCCTGCCTCCTTTTGAACTGATTTTTTCTATACAAATAGTGTAGATTTTTATTGGCGTATACACTTCCACCAGCAGAAATTCTGTGGTAAAGGGCCTTGCCTCTCTGACCATAGATTTGTACAGGCAATTTCTTACGTTCCTTCATATACTTTTGATATGGCCAAAGATGTCTTCTCCCTGCCCTTCCCCATTTTATCTCAGCAAGTAGATAGCCTTTCCAGCTGGAGAGATGATGAACAAAGCAGCCCACAGCAACTCTTGTCTCACTTTTCATGGGATTGCTGAGAAGGGACAGTGCTGGTGTGTCCCTTCAGGAGAGTCCAGCAGTAGGCCCCCTCCGGTGGTGTTCAACATGGCAGGAGATGAAGAGCTTGAGCCTTTCTGTTTGTGCAGGGCTGATAAGAAAGCTTGGCCTTTCCTCTCCTGCTTTCTTCCCCCAAACTCCCAGCCTTGTTCAGAATTCTGTGCTGGGATGTTCTGTTCTCACCAAAGACACAAGGATGGGCTGCAGGCTGAGGGAGAACTTGTGCCCCTTATCATGTTGCCTGCTGATGTGGAAGAATGGAAGCAGTCTGCACAGCTTTTGTTTTCAAGGTGGTGGTAATAAACCCACTCTCCTTGTCAAATCACCTATCACATATTGGAAGGCATAGGGCCCAGTGCCATCGCTAGATAAATAGGTGCTGACTGTTTTCTTCTTTCTTGGGCAACGACCCTGAGTGGAGATTGTATACATCAATTTTCTCTCAAGATACCTTTGCTATTCTCAGCTAGTCTGCTGCAGAGTTTCACCCTAGAATAATTCTATTAGTCACTGAAATGGCATCAGTGTTGTACTTACAGAGTATGTTCTTATAAGTGATTAATATGTAGAAAAATAAGGTAGTTGCTATCAAATAAATTATTGAGCTCTAATAATGTTAATGTCTCTTACAGCCATAATCAAAATGCTAACATGTTATCATGATACTGTTCTATTTCTGTATCGAGCTTGAAGCCTGTGAAGTATTGGATTTCCCTCTGATGAAAATAGAAAGGAATGTGGAGCTTTTTCCCCACAGCCATGAAATGGGCAACTCTTAGATCCAATCTTGTTGTTCCTGCCCTAAAATGTAAATATTGTGAACCTTTCTTTGCCTCCTTTAAGGGAAAAAATTGATTCCCTACTTGTCATAATATGAATACTTTAAATTGTAATCCAGCTGCCATACTGGCTATAGATTTACTGTAATTTTTTGCTCCATAAGACACACCTGACCTAAGGACGCACCTAATTTTTAGAGGAGGAACACAGGAAAAAAAATATTCTGAAGCAAATAGTGTAATAAAATATTTAATAAACTGTAACAGAATAACATTTGAACCATGTAAAGTGAACTGCAGTCAACAGTGGCATTAAGAACCATTAGCACTGTCATTAACAAATGGAGAGACTTAAAGGTTTGTGTACTCTATGTACCATAAATTTGTGTACCATAAATTTAAGTCAAGTACATATAGACCATTATCAGCCAGTGATAAGACCTATACCACACTACAGTACCTATATTTTACATTTCCTTTCATCC